CCGCCACTCCGCACTGCTGCGCTGCCACTCCGCTGCCCTGCCCCGCCTGCCCTGCCCAAGTTATTGAATATTCCTTGGGAGAGCAACATGGCACGAGACGCAGAGGAGGGGTTGTATATGGAGTCGCATTCGTAACGACCTCCAGCCCTTAGCTGGCATAGTTTACGGCTACGATAGAGACTATATTTTATCGTGCTCGATCACCAAATTTTTTTGTGTTTGGTCATTCCCCGTGTTGAGCCAAACTAAGCCGCAGGCCCCTCTCCGGGTGCTGCTTTGCGTCATTTTCCATAGGTTTTTTTCGTTGGTTTCAGCATTGCAGCCAAACCCCCCTTGGGACTTAAACCCTTTCACTTTCATAAAACGCCGAAAAAGTCGCAGAGGGATTCGTACAGGTAACCACCGCCAATCCATAGCCATTTTGGCTCAAGGCTATGCAAGGCTTTGCTCCTTCTGCTGTTGTGGCTGGGGTCCCTCTTTAGGTAGCCTGGGTGCGCCGCCGCATGGATCGCGTGTGTTTGATCGTGGGTGGAGTGCAGTTATAGGCTGCCTGGACCAAACTCATTCAGGTGGAGGTGGTGCGTGCTGCAGGCCTGCCGAGGGTTGCGACTGCGACGAGTCGGACCAGGCCCCGCCACCTAGCACCGCGGTTGCGCTCGCGCCCTGCCACTCCCCCGCCAGCTGCACCCTCCCCGACACACAGCACTCCCCTCGCTTCCTTGAAAAACGGCCGCCACCGCGCTGGAGCCGGTGCCCAGGCTCGCCCAAAAGCCCGCCACGGCGACCACCCCTTCGCTGCTGAGGCCGACGCCCTGCCCATCGGCGCTAGCCCGTTCAACAGGAACCCAGCTTCGAGAAAGAACCTTGGCCGTCTCACCCCCTCGTTGGAGCCAGCGCTGCGTCTGTGCTAAAGGCGCGCTCGCCTCCTGAAAAAAGAAGAGCTCTGGTTTCGCTAAAAGGATTCCTAGGTTTAGACTTTTCTGGGTTACGGGCTTCTGGGCTTAGGGGGTTTGGGTTCGGGTTCTGGGTTTCTTGCAGGCGGATTGGTTCGCTCCGCATGGCTATCGGTAAGCCAGCGACTGCATGATTGGACCACACACGCTGCTTTGCAGCTGGTGTTCTGCCCCAGGCGCTTGTTACCGCTGTTTGTGCTTCCAGAGTTCAAGCTTTGCAGGGCGAAGAAGTCTGCCTTCGCAGTGTCGTGGGCATGCTTGCCGGGTTGCTGCTGCTGCTGCAGCTGCCGCTGATGCATGCGTGCGCTTGTAGCACGTTGATTTGCACATTTTTTGCCTGCGGCCTCTCTGCCAAACTGCACCGTGCTGTGCACAAGAAGCTGGAGAGAGCATCTGCATCAGAGAAGAAAAATGAACTCACGTTGCATTGCATGGTTAACATGGGGGCAGACTCATATGTAATCTGAAGAGGGTGTCCGGTCCAGGCGACGCAAGTCATCACAACGTCAAGGAGCTTTCAGTTCATGATGCCCTCCCATATGTAACTTGCTTGGGTTTATGCCGGACTGAATCAGCCGCTGATCCCTCCTCCCCCCCAGGCTGCACCGTTTCTTCCTTGGCCGCTGTCTCGAAGGCTAAACTGTCGCTTGGTTCGCACCTCTCCGCCTAGTTCTGTGCCGGGCCCAAGCGCAAGCGTCAAACCTGCCTTGAGGTTGTGGCAGCAGGTGCGGCTTGGTCATGTTCGGGCTTGCGGGTGGTAGCTGCTGGGACACTGAAGCCACCTTGTTCCTCACCCTCGTCGCATGCATGCGCCTCCGCCACGCCTCTTGCGCTCCGCCGAGCTGCACAAGCTGCATGGATGCTCAGGTGGTGTTCTTGCAACCACGTCCGTTGAGCTGCAGCCGAGCCGCGTCCCGCCGGCCCTTCACAGCCGTAGCAGTAAAGGGTAGGAAGTAGGCGCTGGGACGTCCGAAGGTGGAGCAAGGTCCGAGGAGAAAAATTTGTTGCAAAAATCATGCGATTTGCATGTTCATGCGCTGCCATTGGCTAGATACACCAACAATACGTTTCGAAAAACTCCAATGACGGAAGAAGGAAACAACTGTAGTGCTGAACTCGCTTGCCGGACAAACCTGCTGCCTCCCCCTGCCGAGCCTCACGAACACTGCGACCAAGGTGGCCGGACTGTTCCTGCGTGGTTGCGAGCGCCCTGAGTTTGGGCCTGTTTCCCTTCGCAAAACACTGTGTTTGGAAATGCTTTGTCCGTTTGTGACATCACCAAAGCTGGGCCAATGCTCGGCCTGAAAAGAGTTAACCCACCCCTGATTGTGGCGAGTGGAAGACACATACTCGGACAAGACGCGGCGAGGGAACACACATGCTCAGACAACACCCGGCCGTGCGTGGGTGCGCCATCGTGCCATCCGGAGAGCAGCTCATGCAAAGTAGGCTCGGATCTGCACTCTAGTTGCCCAGTGCCGTTGCAGCAGGGATGTCGCAAAGCTTCTGTGACGTCCGGTGTGCCAGGATGCGAGCTGCTGCAAGCAGACGGTTGCGTGCCCGAGTGGCGAGCCGTCTTTCAAAGAACTGCGCTGCCCCGTGGGAGCGCACCGTCCCCGGAGATTGGTCACATGTGCAGCAGTTTCGCGCTCGCAACCACTGCATCCACGGCAGCGATGCTGCCAGCTGTGCCGTCCCAATCAGGGCCCTGTGCGGGGTCTTGGCTGACTGCCATTTACCGCCACACCGTGCGAACAGATGGCCGATGCCTGGATATGTGATCTGCGGCGCCAGGTCCAACGGCTCCGAGCCGTGTCACGGTGTCAGATTGGTAAAGCCGCTAACACCTACATGAAAAGCACAGCAGCAGGTATGGCTGGTGGCCGACGTAGATGGTGCCGCCTGCTGCGTCCCGAATAGTAGCTGCGGAGAGGAGGCTTTAAAGTCACGTCAAGAACAGTAATCTCCACTCGAAACCCCAAATACTAAGCCGTGAACTCTCAGTCAAGCCTCAGCCTCATGCACTCTACTCGGAGGGGAGCGGGGCGTGGGAAAAAATCGAACCCGAACTCACACCAGACGTCTCGACCCTCAAACCCCACCGTAAAAGGAAGACCTTGACGCGGGTTGGCACCTGGCATCCTGAAGTCCGGACAGTTCGCGGGCTCAAAAGGGGAAATTGTGGATAGATGCGGGCAGCTTGCCGCACAGGCCTTGCTTGAAAATGGCATGCTGTGGGGTTTTTGAGCACTTGACACAAACCCGTGCGATTCGAAGGACGGCATGGCCAGTGAAGAAGGGCTGCCGACTTCCAGCGACGTAGCATCTTCAACATCCAAGTCAAGATCAATACAAGATATCGTCTCGGCCGAGACCTTGGTTAGCCGCCAGCACAAGCTCATGTTCGGCAGATTCCCGATCTTGAGGTAGTGGTGGATAGCGTTTGGCAGTACGTTCACGTGGGAGCGGCCGCCTTCCTTTTCTACGAAGACCGCTTGCTGTGCCTCTACAGCTTGGTTGGTTTCGCGAGTTTGTGTTGCCACTTGCCTGCAAAGCATACAGCTTGGTCGGTTGAGCGAGCTTGTGTTGCCACTTGCCTGCAAAGCGTCAGGGGATCATGATTTCAATGTGGTATTGCTTCAGTGACCGCTGTTTCGCCAGGTGGCGTTCTAGCAGCATCACGTTCTGCGGGCGTGGTTCCTGTGATGGGTGAAGAGTTATGGAGGATTGCAATCCCTGCATCTGCGATTATTTCAGTCACCACATCGTTGCAGCTTGGCAGATACAAACTGTATTGGAAAGGCTTGTGTTTCATGTCCAGATTGTGTATGCAAGTCTTTCGCAGCTCAGGGGATGTCGAATTGCGGGATGGGTGTCAGCAAAAGCCACGTGTTGCTTGTGCGTGCTGCTGCCACCCGCAATTGTCGGCTTGACAACCGTCACGGTCCGGAATGACAAGACCGCGCGGCTGTGCTGTAGCAGCAACCAAAAAGCAGTCGAAACTTAAGATCCTGGGGTCAAAACGGTTGAGAGTTTTGTTTGCAGTGTTTAAGGGTTGTTGAAACCGAGGCGCTTGTGAGCAGATTTCGGCAACTGCGAGGCCGCCAGACGTACAGTGCTCAGATGTCAGTTGTCGGAAAGTACGGCGTGAGTTGACGGAAGCGACAGGTGCTGAAGCCGCCCGTGCCGGATGCAGCACTCACAATTTGACCGTTCACGTCTCGCCGGTACATGGTCTGTCTGGTACAGCCATTCAAAGTCGAGTTGCAAAAGTTGCAGTTCCATTGGGGCCTGATGTTCATGATTGAGTTTTCGGGCATGCACGGCGGCACTTGCAGTTGGCTCGGTTGCAGCTGCACGTGTGCGTGGGGGCATTTCGGTTTCAACAGCCAGACATGTTCCGACACGGGGATTCAACTGTGGTGAGGTCGGCCGCAGCCTTGGGTGCTCAAGTCATGCATGTTCGGGTTGTGACATGCAAGATGCCCGTGTTTGAAGATGCCACTCACAAGAGAAAAACATCGCTGTTGCAAGGATATGACATGGCAGACCCGTCCTGGGAAGGAAGAGTTGTGGGACAGCTTTGTTGATTCCTTGGCAGCACTTGCGACGCCGCTGTGGAATCCTCGTGCAAGCTTTTTGTTTCCCGAGGTCCCTGCCACAAGGCCTGCTTCTCGGAGTGCCGGCTGGAGAAACTGGAGGGGATTTGTTTTTGTTAGAAATTGTAGGAACCTCTTAGTTCTTATAGCCTCAGCTGAGCTGGTTGGTGAGTCACGAATCCCGAAACCCCGACGGATCTTGTCGGATGGAAGGTGGAAGATGCAAGAAAAGATTCTGCCATTAGGAAAAATAATTTAACATTAACACGGGAAGGGAAGAGAACCGGCTTGGAGCAAGTTGACATTGCAGCAACGACTGCTCCTCCGAGGCCTTTCCGAATCCACCAATAAAGCTTTACAAGCTACAAAAATCGACTTCCAATTGACTGCTCGTGCAAATCGCAAATCGACCTGCTTGTAGAGGTCGTATCCCACGGGCTGCGACAAGATGCAGCCCGCAGTCTATTCACACCCGAGGCTCCTAGCAGGGTAGATTTCGTGACGAAGAAGTGACGGGCGCCTCACACCTGCAAAGGTGTAGCCACTTCAGGCCAGCCGAGACGGATGCGGACAACAAATCGGAGGTTCATGCAAGGGCAATGCAGATCGAGTCGACAAGCGAGCTTTGTGGGGGAGTGTGTCGCTGCAGCTTCTACGTAGTCTTTTCTGACTTGAAGGAGCTTCCAAGTCTAGGGCTAGGGCCTAGGGTACAGCAAGACGTCAGCCAGCTGTACGTTGGAGGTGCCGGGAATGCTTCGTCGCCCCAGCAGGTGTGCGACACGGCACACGTGCAAGACTATGCGCTATGCACCCTGTACGCACCTGTTTGTGCAGCTGAACAGGTTGGGCAGCATCGCAGATGTTGCGCCTTGCTTTGTGCCAGAACTGGAGATCGCCAAGGGTTCAGAGACGTTTTCGGAATTTGGTTGGGAACTCAGCCCCCCCGGGCCCCGGGCATGCTGTTGACGCGAAGAGTGCATCAGGCGCCCGCAGCGCAAGTCAGGTCTTGTGGCACCGCAAATTGACTGCCAATGCTGTCACCCTGCAGAGGACCCTCTTGCGCCAGCCAAGTCGTCATGTTGGGACTTCTATTGCTTGCGTTCGATTGCTTCATACTGCTTCTGTACTTGAACACAGGGCCTCTAAACCTGCACACGTCGACCTGACATTATGCTTCTTGTGCTTACTGGTTTAGACATGCCCTGTCTCGTTGCAGGTAGCGGCTGAAGTTGAGACGGCCGCCAACTCTCACATCAATCCAGCCATCGTTTTGCGGCTGGTGGGGGACTTGCAGGAGGCCTCAATGCATGCATTTGCTGGCTGGCTTGCGTGTCTGAGGTGTAGAAGCATGGCAGATCTTGGTGGTACATGTGTTGACTCCAGGTGATCGATTCAGGAGACCACGACTTGCCCGCCGCAGTGGAGCGAACCTTTGGACCAGCTTGCGGCTTACAGGTTCTTAGAGGCGAAGATGTCCAACATGCACCAAGAATACTTTTGTCAGAGCCAAGGATGGCATCACTGCCATGTTCGGACGCAGATCTGCAGAGGGCATCGCTCGGCTACGCTGCGGTGGCTTCAACCATGCAGTTGCCCCACGTTTACGTACAGCAGTTGGAAACTTGCAAACGTCAAATCTATGTGGTACGATGTTGTCCAGACTTTACAGGTCTTCATGTTAGCGTTGGGCGGCAAGTTGGTGAAGTGCATCAGGCACAAAGCCCCAAGGGCCCAAGTCCTAGGAGTCCTAAGTGCTGGCAGCTCTGTTGCAGCTGCTTGGAGGCCGCATGGAGGTGCAGGAGGACAGTTCAGCGAAGCCTTGGAGGCCGACAGGTTGACTCGGTCGTCACCAAACCTCGCTAAGGACGTCTCACACTTGCTGCTTGCCGCATTTGCTGCTCGCTGCTTGCTCCAGGGAACTTTTCCCGTGCTTCAATGAAGCGGGGTTCTATGCGACAGGATCCCCACGTCTTGTTTCCGGACGCTTTCTTCCTCTGCCAAGATGCAGCTTCCTCAGCGTTCATCTGCGAGGCGCAAGCTCGAAGCTTCTGGGATGTGCAGTGCTGTGATGAAGTTTGGACCTTGCTGGACAGGTGCTCGTGTTTGAGTACCTCCCAAGCTGCCAGTCTATCGCCGACGTGTGGAGCAAGTTCGAGCGGACCCACCCGTGTGGCCGAGTCCTCGAGTTTTCGGTGACTATGTGATGGCCAGAGGCTCTGGAGCAGCTCTTGTCTGAGGATCGCGACATCAAGCATCTCCTTGCCCTGTTCACCGTGTGGCCGAGCACAGCGAGGCGTGAGGCCTGCAGATTACACCAAAAGCTGGCGCTTGCAGCCCTTTGACAGGTCGGGCCTGTAAGGTGCGAGCACGCCAAGGCTTTGCGAAGCCTGGTGCGGCAAGCAGCACTTCTTGGCAGGCGAGGCAGTTCTGTTCTGAGTTGATCTGCCAGTGTAGGCCAAGCAATGACATGGTGAAGTTGTTTGTGGAAGCAAAACTTTCTCCAGATCCAGAGCAGCAAGTGGCACTCGTGACATTCCCTGACACCTGTCGTACAGACGTTTCCAAGCTCTCCATGGCCGTCGACATGGCGATTTCAAGGCACATCCCACATCTCCCGTCGGCACGATCATGAATGAGAACAAGCTGCTTTTGTTTTGGTAAGGCGGACAACGTGCTAATGGATCAACATGGACGCCTTCGGCTGGCCGATTTTCTGAGCCCGTTTTGTGTATCCTGCGTCCTGCCCTCGGCTGCCATACAGCGTTGCAGCGAGCGCCGAACAGTGCATGGCAAGGACAGGGGCGAGTTCTGCATGTCATTGCAGAGTCAGCATCCCTCATGCCAGGCAAGGGCTTCCTGGATAATTATTGGAAATCAATCTTACTTCCAGCAGGAGCTTCAGGCCGCGTTCAACCAGGAGTGGCAGGCGATCGTCTTGGACATTTCTTGACATCTTGCGCCAAGTGAGACAGAGACACGAGTGCCCCCCATTCTAAAGTATTGAAGAGTCTCTCGTCCAAGCCATTGGGAAATCGGTGGTTGGTTTGTCAGTGATTCGAAACAGATGTGAGTTGACTGTTGAGGGAAGATTCAGGTCGCGGCATTACACGGCAGTTTTCAGGCGCCTATCACTTCAGCAGACATGCTTGCTGCCGGATTGTTTCCGGTTTCCCAGCAAATTCACAAGCTGCTTTCACAAGCTGATACATGCCTCCGATTGTTCCACGTCATCTCCGTTGTGTGTTCCTTCATTTCGATTGCTTTCAGTAGCTAGGTGATTTCATCCGGTGTGCCGAGTCCTCCTAACAAGCTAGCAGGCGGTTTAACTAGCAAGAGCAATCTGTGCCAATTCCATTTCGTGAATGAAGCCACGATATACCTCCAGCATGTGCTTGCCTGCGGTTGGTGCCAGGCAGCGTCCAAAGTCTACAGATGTGAGGTGCTTTAGCCTGATTTCGGAAGCACCGTGGGGAATTGCTGGGGCGCTTCTGACTGCAATCACGTGGCAGGACATGGTAACCGGACAAAACGTCTGGCTGATAGCCGAACTGGACAAATTGCAGGAGGCACCCTTGCAAGATTGAGCAAACCTGCCCATGGGTCTGCCGGCGAAGTCTAAGTCGATGAGGCTTTTAGTCAGCAACCCTTGTTCGGGTGCACGCCTCAGCCTGCTTACCTCTGTCAAGTTGCACGACTCGAGTGCCGTTTCGTGATCCATTTTGTCGGAAGGCCACTTCCGGATTTGCTTCAAAGCATTTCTACTTGGACACCATCTTCCACTTCGACACAGACTCCTAGCTCGTTTTCCTTCGCAGGCGGCGAAAGCTTTGGATTTTGCTCAACGCGCTCGTATTTCTTTCGAGGCGGAACGGACTGGCCATCTCCGGCGAGCCAAAGCCCTTCGCCTTCGCCCATTGCCCAGTCACCAGAGACAGGCGCTGGAGGCGCTGGGCAAGGGCGCTCTGTGCCACTGCGCTGCATCTTTTCGCGAAGTGCCAGGGATGGTTCCGCCTCACTCCGTGCCTGCGGAGCTCTCGAAGCGAAATCGAGCTGTTCCCGCTCAAGACCTGCAGGCCCAAAAAAGGCTCAGCCTCCGAGGGCCTCGGGTTCGGCCACCAGTCCCCGCCAGGCATGGAGACAAGGAAATGCTTCATCTCTGGACTTTGTGCTCAGCTTGTCTCCGGCAGGGCTCGTCTTATGTCATGTGCTTCGATTTCCGCCTTCTCTCCCGAGGTGTCTCTGTCAAGTTCGCTGTCTTTTTCGATGACATCTCCCGCTCGCCAGATGCTCGCCGAGCCTAACTTGCTGACACAGGCAGCTTGAGGCTTAAGGCCCGGTAAAGCCCCTCAGCACGAACTTGCGGGCAGGCCAGAAGCCTTCTGGTCCATCCTGGGCCCAAGCGGGATTACTTGCACTCCAACACCAGTGCCGGCCTTCCGGCGTCCACGTCTTTCGGGGGGCTACTTGGTAGCATCTCCGCACATGCCAGATGCTGTGCATGGCTGTGCCTGGTGACACAAGTCGAGGAGCTTTGCATTGCCACCTGCTCCGGTTGTGCCAACCGGCGGTGGACTTCCAGGTTACAGCAGTCGAAACGGCTGGTCCGTTCCCTTCACAAGTCCTCCATGTGCAGGCATAGCACCTGCAACTCCTGTCAGGTACCCAGATGGGTTCAAGACTGGTCGTGAAGTGCCGAAAGAACTGGTTGCACTAAACAGCGCATGATTGAGGCGATGCAGTTCCCATGTGTTGCTCAGCATCTCGTCGGGGGCTCGTGGTTGTATGATGATGTTGCCGACACGATGTCAGCCCGTCGGGTCAGCACATAGCGGTAAAACGAGAGGCTAGATCCCAGCTGGGCACTCGTACTTGCTTGAGGCTGCTGCAGCTGGTTCCTCGCCATTCTTTCCCTTCCATGAGAGCTGGCCGTCATTGTCATGCACAAAGATTAACCTGTGATAGAGTCTGGTCGGGGTGGCTCGACCATGCTTCGATCAGCATCTATCCAGGGATTGCGGACAAAAAGTGTTCTTTTCAACTCAAGTGGTGCTTGACAGTTCGAACCAGCAGAGGGCTCGGTAGGTAATCGCTCAGAGCAGAGCAGAGGCAAGCTTGCGCAGGCCCCGGCCATACAAGCATAGAGCCATAGTCAAACATGGGGTTCGGAGTTTGATGGAGGGCTGGGTGTTGAGGCATGCATGTTCAAACAAGTGGCTTTCGACATTCAAGCATCTGCTTGAGCGGAATTCTTCGCACGAAGCTGTGCTGCAGCACGAATAGGGTGCAGCTGCGGAGCTGAAATTCATCAAATGCTTCAAAGAAGAGCCAGTGCTTCCGCGTTGTTTATCGGAACACTGGCTTGAACCAGATTAGAAGTTAACGCAGCTTGCCCCCGACTGTGGTCAAAGCGTGCTTGCATGCATTCGGCGAGGTGCTGCCCGGCCTTCATTGCATTGGCAGTAGCTGATCACGCAGCGCATCTTTCAGAGGCCATGTTCAGCACAAGTGCAGCACCCACCATTCATCCCAGCTAGACGAGCAGCGTTGATTGGTGGTGTGCCCGGGGCTGAGGGCACAAACTCTCACATGTCGTATGGATGTTGCTGTTGACTCGAGTTCCGGCAAACAGTCTGCAGCACTGCTCTTCAGGAATCGGCGCGAGGCGGTCAATGATTGTGTTTCTTGCTTATGACAAAGACTGGCATCGCGCTGACTGCCTGGCCACATGTGGCGTTGATGTGGTTCCGCGCGTTTTTTTTGCTGCAGTCGTGCCGAGGTACCAACCCGGTTCTTGGGGTGTTGGATTTGCCTTGCGACTCCACGGATCTGTATTTCCACGCGCATTTGCTCCTTAGCTTCAATGACACCTTCAGCAGGGCATTCAGACGCACAAATCGTCGTTCCGCCGCGATTTTTGGCAAACCTCAGCAAACAAGACTGTTGTCCCCTCGCTGAGGGAATGGCAGCCATAGAGCTTCTTTTCAAACCCAAGGAACGGCGGTAAACATGGCGTTCCAACCCCTAGGCCCTCCCAGCAGCCGCGTCTGCAGTGTCACTTCTTGCTGTCAGGCACCTGCTGGGATATGTGCTGCGTTTGCAATGTTGCTGCACTGGCTGCTGCGATTCTCGGCCCTACACGTACGTTGGCGGTCCAGAGTCAAGATGGTTCAAGCGAGTGAGAGAAACTACGCAGCCGAGGCCTGGATTCTGCAACTCTCGAAGTAATCGGCACTGGGGCACCAGAACAAAATGTCTTCGACGGATTTACCTTTGTGCTTGGATTTCTGATAGTATTCCGGCCGCTAGCTCAGAAGCTCTCCTCTGCACCTGATGATTGCTGTAGTCGAAGCGCTCCTAAGCATCCCGAACCCGTGAGCCTCAAAGCGACAGGTCTCAGCAAGCATATTCCAGATGGTGGGAGGGAGGCACTTTGCTTCAGCAGTTGCGGGGTGAATGGTTCAACTCATACAGCCCCTAGCCTGCATTACTTGCCATACCTGTGTGCAACCTCCATAACTGTTGAAGTGGCCACAGGTTGCTTAATCGCCTTCTGCAACGGTGCGCCCGAAAAGAAGGAGGAGCTTTGCATGCATGTGCACACCCGAATGTGTATCGAACCTGATAAGGGAAGTTTAGCGGCCAAGCTGAAGCAGCCTTGATCATGTCTCTTCAGGGTGTTGACGGTGAGCTCTTCGGGCCAGCGCTTCACCGCAACACTCAAAGATGCAAGTTTCATGACGGCGGTGTAATCAGACCGGAAGGTCACAACCCACGAAAGATCTGCTCGCATTCGGTGGATAGGAGTTTTTGGAAGGAGTCTCTAAAGAAGGGGCATGGACAAGCTGTTCCAAGTCGAGGACCGTTCTCTTAGTCATAGTCCAACATCAAAAATAACAACGAGAAAGCATACGCAAGGAACTCTTTGATATTTTGGCCACGGGCACACTTTTTGTTGGGAAAGGGGAGCGGGTGGTGTTGGTATCCGACCACGAGACAACTAGACATGCTCCGAAGAGAGGATGCTTGAGTGATTTTAAGGATCCTGTGGTAGCTGTTAGCAGATCACCCGTGCACCTTCTCCTATCTACATTGCGTTTGAAGCGATTTGCCAGACCTTTGAGGAGGTGAAGGCCTTTCAGCACCAGCTGGTTCGCTTGTATAGCTTATTGTATGGTTGCGCCTTACAACAAGTTGCGACCATGGATGAGAAGACGTTCGACCTCTTCGGCTTAGATGGTTTCGAGGCTAGCAGCATGGCCTTCTTGCAGGAAAGCCATGATCGTTGCGAAATTACTCTTCAGTGGATCCAGCGCCTGATCGTTGAGAGTGATGCAAAGCAAGTGCTGAAGATTGCTCCGCCGATCTTGTCCCGCGTCTTCAATGAGCTGGGAAATGGTATTGTCAACCTGAACAATGCGCGGAAGATCACAGATTTTCCCATCCCGTTCCACTTGGCGCAGCCAGTGGCTTACAGCTGTTGCACTTGGATCCATGGATTGCATGCACGCTTGATTTCGAAAGTTCTGTCCGAGGATGATTACCATCATGCTCATTGTGCACTCGCTCATACTCCCTCTAATCTCCGCAGCTACCGTTGACAACATGTCATCAGCTGCGGGGATTACCTTCTTCGCATCTGAGCTGCAAGCGTCATGTAAACTTGGCCAGCAGCTGCACTGCAAGTCTTTGGCCCTTCTCAGGTGAGTTTTGCTTACTGGTGCGCATGGTGCTCAGCAATTAGTGTCTGAAACTGCCCTGCCATGCCCTGCCTATGTGTCAGTGTCTGCGTGGTGCATGTATGTATCTATGTATGTATGTACGCATGCATGAAGAGTAGAGTTCCGGTGCTTCTTGATGCAGTTGGAAAAGATGTTTGAGTGTGCTCGAAGGCCAGGTTATCATGCCAGCTCGACGTACCGACCTGTTGCAATGTTAGGTGAGGTTGCCTTTAAAGAGCTGAAACATCTGAAGTCTCTGCCTCGCCCTTGAAGCGGCTACCCCAGCGAAGCAGTGTCTCGTCCTCCAGAAAGAAAGAAGGAGGTACACAGTGAACACAGAAGCACGCCTGCATGCTCGCACACTTGTGTGAGTGCGACTGCAGCTTTGATTTTGCTGGTGGGGCTGGCGCTGGTGTGAAAGTGCTTCCAACAGGTCCATTTTATCACAATAGAGCTGGAGTGGCCTTTTGGAGATGTCCGGCCCTCACTTGTGGATTTAGCATGGCTCTGCACCAGGGCGTGCATGCAGAGGACCCAAATGATCTTCCGCTGCAAGACATGCAAACGGACTTCAATATGACTCCTGGCTGATCGGAAACTCGCATTGGTGCTCACCGCAGCCAGGAGCGGAGCCAGTCAGAGCATCTTAGACCCAGGAGCCTCTCGTGCTTGATTGACAACAGGGCGCAGGAGGTGCCGAAGTGTCTTGACTCCAGAGTTTTGGGGCTGAGCCGCCCGGATCGTTGAAGGTCACAAGCCTGGACAGAGTGACAATTGAATTGAGTAAGGTTCAGCTTTGAGCCACAGAAGCACCTCTTGCTGAAGACCAAGAGCATCAACTTCGATCGAAATCTCTCCGTCGGGGGGGGTCCTTGCCGACAGCGCATGTCGAGGTTCAAAGAGGCTCGCGGCGCAGTCGCTGTGTAGTCGCTGCAAGTGCCAAAGACCCCCCTTTTTTCGGCCAGGCCCAGGCTGTGAAGAAAGAGAAACGACCCGACACCGAGAAGAGCGATTTGCGGAACGACGAGTGCACGGAGATTCCAATCCAAGGCCGAGAGCTTTCTGAGGCCTTCGACTGTTGGCCACCACTTTGCACCGTTTTGCCGTGCCGAGGCTGCGACGATGGACAGCAGGAGCAGGACAACCCATAGCTCAACAGAGAGAGCGAGCGAGAAAGAGGGAAACCTCTACACCATAGCCCTGGCGAAAGAAAGAGAACAAGCGTAGTGCGATTTCGTGCTGTGGAACTCGCTTTAAATTTGCCCTTCAAGAGACTCGAGAAAGGGGAGGAGTTTCTGCCGTTGAGCATATATGGAAAAGCCGCGCAAGCTTCCTGGCTACTCATCCTCACGAAATACGACTGAGTCCGAACTTCACCCTTAGATTAGGCATGCGGGTTCACACAGGGAGGGATCCGCCCACATTTTTTTTTGACACTGAAGACATGGCAATGCCGTACCTCGCATCAACGCCTGAAGCCTGTACAACCCCTACAAAACTTATTGAGGGTGATAAAACTGTGCACATGCTGGCTGCGCTTGCAACCTGTGCATCGAGTGCGATGGCCCACAACTTGCGGCTGGTGGGAGGAGTGAATGCCCAGGGCAATGAAATGCGAACCAAAAGTGCAAGGCAGATCCATCACCTGGGTCAGTCTGTCCCTCCTCCAAGTGGCCTGTATCAACAGACCGCACCGTACACAACTGGCGGCAACATTTCTGCCCTTGCTACATGGACTGAAACTGTGAAGGGTGCTAGCATGGGAATGCAGCACAATCTCAGCACGGGTAGGGAGCTTTGGGCCGTTCATCCTAGGAAAACTCTGACCCTCAAGCCTGGCATGCCAAAACCCATACCTAAGAATGAGAGCCTCCTGGACAGACCAACATCGACGATACAACACGTCTTGAATGCTCCGTCGGACGTCCAGAAAAGCCAACCTAGCCCGACTAGCAGCAACTTCACCCGCAAGGGTGTCAGCTATCCGGTTCGTTTCAAACTGCCAGGGCTCACCAACAGCATCACGAGCCTGATGCGAAGGCAACCAGTAAACCCGGATCTCCCGTTCATGAACCAGCTGTTTCAGCTGCAACCACAGATGAGAATTACTACGTTTCCCAACCGGCCTCAACTTGCGGATACGCTTGACACAAGCTTGCGAATCCGAACAGAAAGACAGTGGACCCTGAGTGAGCTTGAGAAGCACTTTCATGGCATAAGCCTCAGCCAAGGGCACAGTTTGTTTAGCTCCAGGTAATGGACCACTCAGGGTTCCAACCACACGGTGGGGCTCACTAGCATCAACAGCGACAACCGCCCATGCACATAGCTTCAGCAACTTTTCACTGGAAAAAGGGCCTCCAGAGCCGCCGGTTCCAAAGAGGAAGTTGGTGCTGTCATCCGCCCACATGATTCCTGCTGCCTGCTGGCCAGAAATCAAGAGACATAACTTTCACCTTGATAGGCAAACACATCCCTGGGTCAAACGGTGTGCATTTGTGCACGCTTCAAATCTGCTTTCCAGCTCACTAGAGGAAGAACGGGCTCGCATCTGGCCCGCGGGCTGGATCCCGAAGCGCTTGTGCCCACGGGAAAACTATTTGCGACTCGCGAGCGTTATGTGAGGAGGCAGGCTTGTCCATTTCGGTTCGAACCGCTGACCTGGACCTTGCGTCCTTCGGCCAGGGGAAGGTTTTTGCGCTCACCCCACTCTTCTGCGGCTTGCTGTCACGGCTGCCTTTTCCTTGGTGTCGGACAGCTTCGCGACTGTCGACAGAAGATCGTTAATGAGGCTTCGGATGCCCGGGTACTTTGGTCTTGATAATATGTTGACAAGGCCTGGTGGTCAGGACGGGTAGCGGGATAAGCCAGTCACTTGACAGGAAGTGAAGCCGGAGCTTGCCCAAGGCTGTTGTGTGACCTGACATCACCGAAGCCATGACCAGCCCGAGCCCATCCAAAGGCATCATCGCCGCTAGCTTAGGAGGGGAGACGATCCCAGGAGCTTGAAGGGGACGTCTGAGGCTACAAGCTCGGTTCCGAGATATCCTTCCAGAGCACACTGGACCGGGACCCAAAAGGAAATGTCGAGCCGACAAACCAAGAGCTTTAAGGGAGATGCTGGGTACGACAGCCAAGCACAGCTGGTTGGAACTTGAGGGCCTGCAAAGATGCTGGGAGAAAGCTTGGAGCAGGAAAACGAGAACCCTAAACGCTGGGGCTATCAAGTTGAAATTTCCGACAGGATTTGTGGGGCACTGGGTGAGCAGAGAGGAAATCCTACACGGAGATATCTGTGGCGAAAAACTTTTTCCGCCAGGGAAAGACAATAAACATTGTATCAGGTCGGGTGAGTGCCGCCAGGAAGATACAAGAGGTTGACAGGGGCAGGATGCGTGGGGCCACAAGAGACGAATAAATGGCTGGCTCAGCGTCTTCGTCAGTGGTCCACAGGAGGAGGTGGCCAAAGCGGAGGACCGGAAGGACGTGGTCAAGGAAGAGGGGGACGTGGCGAAAGAGGAGGTGTCCGACATGATCTGAGAGCGGTTTTGCTAATCCACCGCGCGCCCGGGAGCTTATTCTCACCCTAGCTGATAGTGCCTGATGTGAGGGGATCGTTTGTTGCTTTTTAGCGTGGCGTCGTGCTCAAGCCACGGCTGACAACGATGCGAGACATGTGCTGCCACTCGTCACTTCACTTGAAACTGTCGTCCCCACCGCACAAGCATGCAGGGGCAGGCCGTTGCACGGGTCCTGTTTTTTTGCTTGGCTGCAGAAAATGCAGACTCAGATGGTTCGACAGACTCGAAATCTCAGACTCAACTTCCCAGAAAGGCCAATACAACATTCCTCATCACTGACGGATTGCACCTTAGATGATTTAGAAGACTTCATACTGTCATACTGAGTGCGTTAAGGTATATTCCTTAGTATGTTTGTTGGGTATGGGACCTGGGCTCTCTCGGCTCCCTGGGCTCTGAGGCTTAAGGGCATCGATCGAGCTCTCTGAACACTTAGGGCATAAAGCCTGAGCGCAGCAATCCTTCGCGATTGCCATGGTTGGACGCATAAAAAGTTACCTTGAATCCAAGCCCTGCGCCGTTGCCGCCATGGCCACTGATAAAAACATCAGCAAAAATCAGCGGCTGTTAGACGGAGGCTGGAAAGGCTTACCTGAGCAAGGGCTACTCCAACAGCGACCTCCGATCCAAGGTCATCAACCACCTCCAGACCTCCTCGTATCACATGTTTGATGACGAGCGTACGGAAAAGGCAGTGAAGCACCTGAGATTCTGATTTCCAATGACAGCAGCAGTGGCAGATCTCGAGACCGGGACCGAGACGGAGGTTGAAGGCAGTCGGGTTCGCGTGGAGCCGAGCCGCCGAGAATGCCAGAGCAGGGCCCGGGTGGCGGCGGTATCTGCGGCCATGCACCCATGAAAGTGAAGTTTCCGTGGGTGGCCTTAAACCCACCAGGAGGTGTTGGAAGGGTTTGAACTTCCACACAGGCGAATTGTTGGCAAACTGTTGGATGATAAAAACCAAGGTTTCGACATAGTGTTGGCCAAACCCGACGAAGAGACGTCTAGCGCAAACCAACGGGATGCTTCTAGGCAAACCCGGGCCGTAAACGGAAGTGTGATCGAACGCTCGAGACCTTGCAGGACATGTTTGGTGGAAAACTCGTAACTTTGTTCAACAGGGGCCTGCGAAACCTTAAGCCCGAGAAGGGGGTGTTGAGCTGGTGGTTTGAAGCCCGACCCGAGTCGTAATGAGCCGTACACATGGCAAACCCAAAACTGCAGATGCCGGGTGGTTGGACAAGACTTGAACATCGAAAGGATACGTTGGCTTGGCAGGCTCGGGCTTGAAACCGGCGAGAACACCAGGAAAGCTAGATGCTGGACGGCATTTGAACGAAAAGGAGAGTTGCTTGGTAAACCCCGAATCTTTGCCGGGCAGTCAGCCCGACATGCAAATTATCCCAGTGGGAAACCTTGCGCACCAAAAGGAGATGTTTGCTGGTAAACCCACTCGTAAAGCGAAGCCGTTCGAAAGGAAAGCCTGCAAGCAGATCCTGGGCCGAAGCGGGCCTTAAGGGTGGGAAAGGCAGATGACTGCGGATGGCAGACCCGAAGTCCTAGACAGGAAAAGCTGTGTAGGAGAACTGAAATGGTTACGTGCGTTGTGGGTGGCAAAGCTATAGCCACACAAGCGGATATTGGCTTAGGTGACAACTCAAAGCTCCAGGAAGAGTATATGTTGCGCCGGGAACTTGGGTCCTGCGTAGGTTTGCTAGGAGGCAAACCCCAAATCTTAAGAAGCAGGTGCTGGTTTAAACGGTGCGTTGTCTGGCAAGCCGTAAACGCTGAAACGACAAGTAGGGTTGGGAAGCCCGGGCTCGAGACCCGGCAGGGTGATATTGATTTGGAAAGCTGAAATACGAAACCTAGCTCCCCGCAGACTGTCTGGTAAGAGCGAGATGAGGAGATGCTGGGTGAGAACGGCCCAAGTTTCGAAGGAGAGCGAGCAGTTGGCGGAAATGTTGGAACGAATATGTTGACCGGGAGGCCCTAAGCAAAAGAGAGTTTATGCGGGCGTTTTAACCCCAAAACACGGATGTCGGATGACCAGCTCAGACGTTCCGTCTCTCCGGGAGAAGCAGGGCTCGAGATGTCCATCCTGTTCGTTTCCGCATCTTCTTCGTGGGAACGGCTCCGCGTGATTGCATTCGCGCTATCCAAGTGGTTGAGGGTGGGGCAGCCTTCTATCCGAAAGTTTCCGGTGCGAGCCACCGTCAAGTTGCGATCCGGTGGCTGAAGGTGCAGCCAGGTGCCGCCCAAAAGAAAGCTTGCAACCCGGTCAACCTGTTGAGAATACAGGAGATTCTGAGGGCAGGGGCCACGAAGAGAGGGGTTGGAGGAATCGTTTTGGCCCTTCGTGGCGGCTGGACGAAGGCCATGCCAGCAGCTGCGAAAGAAAGCGAGTGTGTCCGCGTGCATGCCTGGGGCCTAGCGCGGTTTGGGTGGAGGCATGGGCAAAACTAACATTGCTTGCTGCAACAACTTCGTTGACAGCTTGTCGACATACTGTATGCACCCTATTGTATCCGACTCCGCATCTCTTTTCGGGGCACTGTGCGTTCACGGTT